AATTTTGTTAAGTTAATTAATTTTACTAACAATTTATTAAAAAAAACTAACCTTCTTTTTACTAATATTTTTTTGCGAATAACGAATTCGTATTTTGCCAAACTAATAGAAAAGCAATTTACAAAAACAAGTTGCGAAAAAATTAAAAGAATCAATATAATTATATAAGAATAATCTGTAAGTAAAAAATAAATTTATCATCTGTTATCGAACTTTTAATTATATTTTGTGTATAGTTAGCCATCTATGAAAAATCTATCATAATGATAGATTTTTCATAGACAGCTAACTCTATACAAAATATAATTAAAAGTCTAATAAAAAGTTTTTTTTGATGATGCTCATATTAGACTTATTATAATTGCTATTTAAAATTATATAATTACTTACTATTTAATATAACCAATACATCAATTATATAAAACATTATATTACAATTAAAGCAATCTAGCAAAACAAATACAAAATTAATACAAAATTTTTAATATAAAGCATTTAATATCCTTTAATATTTTTAATAAAAGCTATCCATTCATCTTTTCTCATATTCTCTAACCAAGTAATACTCACATCATCGATTATATCTAGAAGTACCCAATTATTATTGAGTATTTCAAGTAATTAATGCAAGCAAGGCCCTGTAGTAATAAAAGTTGTAAGTTTTCTTGATGAAATATTTCCTATAAAGCCAGGAATATTTATGTTCAAATCTGAATAGCTTTCTAAATCTTGATTCTTTTTTCTTTTTCTTACTTTGAAAGAATTCCTATCAATAACTTGTTTAATATTAAATGAATTGTTTGATTGATTAATATTAAACATATTAGATAGTGATTCTTTTCCAGTAAGTAAAGACCTTACTTGATTTGCACACGTGGTTCCTTTTTCATGGGTTGTATATTTTTTTACACATTCTATTAAGTAATTATATGCTAATTCAAATTTATACAAAAATTGAAGTGACATTCTGCGAGAAACTTCAATATTATAAGTTGTAATATTACAATCAAAAATAGACTGATAGCACATGCTCATTAATGTTGTAAAAATTTGCACTTTTTTATCTGATGTATTATGCTTTGAACAGTTACTAACCCTAAGATCCTGAGATACTTGCGGTATACACCTTAAAAGCATAATCTGATCTTGCAAATCTAAACTATTATCAGAATTTGATAATCTAAGATTTTCATATTCTAAAGCTAATTCACTATTAATCTGAGTAGGATCAAATTGAACTATTGAAGTTTTACGAAGTATAGAAAGTTCCTTTAGATATTTAAGAAGACTTTTATAATAATCATCTTTTTTAATAGTAGAATTTTTATCATAAAATGGTGCAATAACAGATAGTTCCCTTTCAAAAGCCAATAGTTCATGATATTGATTTGAAACTTTTAATTTATTACTAGTTAATATATCCTTTTTTTTAGTGGGTTGAAAATTAGCAAAATAGCCAAGAATTGGGTAAGGATCTTGGTTAAATTGCTTTCTACTAACCCTTTCTAATTTAGGGAATTTAATGTTTATACTTGACTTCCAAATTTCTACAGAGTTAATCGGTTCAAGTATAATTTCACTCTGATTGTTCTTAAGTGTTGCAATTTTTTTTGTTGGATTAATTTCAATTTTGTCAAATTTAGTATCCTGTGTAATAGATGCTAAAATGACACATTGGTTTATAATATCTTGGGATACTTCTTGAAGAAAAGCAGGTATAGAGGACTGATTAACCTATTTAGAGGTTTTTGTCACAATGCCTAAAATTAAAAATTAGAGTAAGTATTTTTTTTTAAGCCAATAAAACTAATCAAATTATAGATTTACATTGTCGCTTAATATTTCGTTCATCATTACCCTCATCTTCATCCTTATCTTTATTCACATCTTCATCCTTATCATCATCCTTATCTTTATTCTTATCTTCTTTACTTCCTTCATTACTCTTCTTATCATTTTCATCATCTTCTTCATTATCACTTTTTGCATCATCTTCTGTATAACCTTCACCTTCAGCATCACTACTGCTATCCATTTGTATTACTTTACTGTTTTCATTAGCATCATCTATTAGCATTATATCTTTACCTTAACAAAGTTGAAGTTATTCAATAAAGAATATATATCAAAAATTAAAAATTAAATACAGCATACTTACGAGAAAAAGAATAAAGTTCTTCATATTTCACATTTAAAATTTCATTATTTTCATTTGGAGTTTTATTAATATTATTAATATTAATAATTGAATCCAATTGAGATACTAATTTTTTATGAAAATTATTAATATCTCCAATTTCTTGAAAAAAGCAACATGTTTTAGTATCATTTATATATATTATTTCGACTTCTTTATTAAGAAATCGAATTTGGCAAATATATTGTTCAGGATTGTAAGAATATAGTAAATATATAGCTCATATTAAGTCGTCCATATTTTCTATTCCTATTTATTTGTTTAATATATATATATAATTGTCAAATAATAAGTATTAAAATTAAATTATTAGTAAATTATATTTAATTAATAATAAAAAAAGAATGAATCATTATCATAAATATACCTTTAAGAGTTGAGAAAAGGGGTAAGAGAAAATTTCTATTTAAATAATAATTATTTAAAATTTAGCTAATAGACTACATGATACTCCAATTACGTAATTAGACTTAACGATCTACGAGTTCGTATTTTGCTAAAGCCGAAGAGTTATTATTACCTAAGTATTAATTAATAAATATAGTAATATATGTAAAAATAAGATAGCTATTAATAAATTATATTTAATAAAAAAAAACTAATAATAATAAAAATAAAAATATATGTATACCTTAGTTACACACAGATGAGAAAATGATAGACGAAGTAAGAAAAAATTTCTATTTAAATAATAATTATTTAAAATTTAGCTAATAGTCTACATAATACTCTAATTACGTAATTAGACTTAACGACCTACGAGTTCATATTTTGCTAAAGCCGAAGAGTTATTATTACCTAAGTATCAAATCAAATAGTAAGATTGCAAACTCTTACTAATATCTTCATGCTACTATAATGAAAGTCTGTATGAATATATCCTGCTTTATAAATTTATCTAAATATCTTCATGTAGTCTTAATTTAAGACTTCCATTATCAGCATATTGAAATAGCATCTAGTATTTATTTGTTTCGATCCATATACTGTATAATCTACATTATCAAACTTTGTAAAGTTATAAAAATGAATTAATTCAATGTGTTTAATAATACATACAATGATTTAACTTCTTTCACGATTTTATATATCTATCACTTCAGCAACTTTTAATCTTATACTATCTAACCAGATCTCAGAAAATATAGAGTCAAATCTACCTTTGCCAATTTTTTTATATTATTCAGTCTATTAAATGGATTCCATTCAATCATATTTCATAATTACTTGTTCTAAGTTGAAACCATTTGATTTAATTTTTCGATATCCTTAATTCCACTTGTCTATTCTCAAGTTTTTATATCAGGATCATATACCTGACATATGCTTGATATATGTTATATTCATTACAGTATTACATTAAATATAAAATACTATAATATCTATTATTTGATAATTAGATAATTATAGTTTTTTTCTTTTAATTTAGCAAAGTACGAAATCGTAGTTCGCTAAAAATAATTTATAATTATTAGTCATTATTTTGGTGTATAATGCACATACCAATTTAAATTATTAATTATATTAAAACCTGAGGTCAGAAGTCATCTTAATCAATAAATCTATATTTATGATTAATAATTTATAAGTAAATCTATTGATTTTAGCAAAAAAAAAATGAAAATAAAAATAAAAATAAATACCTTAATAAACTGCCAGTTGGATGCTAGACTAAAAAGTGCCCTAATGTGCCCCACCTTGTACATAGGAGTCGTAACTATCCACTCTTTCTGTTACGTCCTTTAAAGATGTTTTTGATTTTAATTGTGATCTATTTTTTATATTTTTATGCTGCAGAACTCCATCTATCGATTGAATACTCCATTTATTAATTACTGCCTTAGTCTCAAATTTAAAGAAGCATAATTCTCACTTTTGACTCAGTCATGTTTTCTATGATACCAAAATAGAACATTTGATTTAATTTTAGCTTAAAAAAAAAAATCAATATAGATAACTGTCGTATATATGTACGTACGTATATTTAACTTATTGTTATAAAATACTAGATACTTAACCAATCGTGTATGGACTAGATTTTATTAGGTTGTTCCCTATTAGTGATCAGAATCGTTTAGGTGAAAATCAACTAGTTGACAACTTTTCAACTAATCGATTTAATTATCGACTAGTTCAATTCCGAGATATTCTGTCTAGTCAGGCTAATCTATGTTTATTTCTTTAGTTTGATTAGCTAATCGACGAGTTTAGTCACATATATAAAAAATTGATTAGTTGCAACTATAGTTAGCAACTAATTGATTAGCAAAATTTTTACCAACTAGGAACACTAATCCCTATTACTATTTAGAAATTTAATACAGGTTTTGGCCACCAATTTTGGACAAATTAACAATCAAATTTGAACATTAAAGCAATCAAAATTGGACATAATAACAATCAAATTGAATATAATTAAATCTTAATATTTTATTATATAGTAAATAGAATTATATAATTTTAATAATACTAAAATAAATAATTCTGATTACTATATAATAAAATATTAAAATTTAATTATATTAAATTTGATAGCGATCATGTTCAAATTTGATTGTTGTTATGTATAAATTTAATTGTTAATTTGTCTAAAACTAGTAGCCAAAACCTGTAAATTATTTTTTAACTGTGAACGTCAAGCGTAATATGCACATGACACATCATAATGATACAATCATATAGTTAATCAGTAAATTTATTATTTTATATAAAAGAAATTTAGCACTGATTTTAATGTCACTACTCTCTTTCAAAGTTTCTTTCTTTATCTTATATTTACATCAAAGCGTTATACTTTTTTTTTCTAATTTGAACTTATTTTATGTATTTAATCCTTACTTTCTTTTTATTTTGGATTTAGATTTGGCGAATTATGAATTCGTAGTTCGCCAAATCTAATATTTCTTTATTATTATTTTTTTTTAGCTCTTATTTTTCTCTCTTTACTTATATTTTCTGCTTTCTATATTTTATTAATTTGTCAAATATTAAAAATATTAAGTATATTCATACATTATAACAG